GTTTTCCATTGACCACAATTGTTCCCTCCGCCCACAACATTTCTGGTCTGGGCCAAGTTAACTAAATGGATGCTAAAGTTATTGAGCATGCAAGATAATTTGCGCCACATCAGAAGAAATACAAGGCCTCTTATGTGACTCAAACTATGGTATCTCTCATTTAAATGAGCTGAGCCAGGACACTTCGATTTGCAACTCGGGCTTTAGCTCTGAGGAGCAATTACACGACTGTCCCTGTGTGGCGCTGATGTCTGTTATATCTCCTTCGCCTGGTGATCTCCTCCCCTACTTCCTTTCCCATGGAGATGGATGGTGTCTCATTAATTAATGTACGGGTCCTTTGCAGGAGCTGAGGGAGGGTGGCTCAGAGGCGCTTAGAAATCCCCCCATTCGAAAACTGTTTGGTGTTCTGAGAGCAGGGCTCTGGAGAGTTGTGTCACCAGCCGCATCTGTACCTCGCTTGTGAAACATTGACCACTTACAAAGCGCCATCTCCAACTCTCGGAAGATTCCACCACGGTGTTTTTCAAAAAAATTGTACACACACTTGGGAAGACACTAATGCCAGGTGATGGCAGAGCAAAGCTCACTGGTCAAGTGGATTCTTCAACATAACTCGTTGGACTGGTATGTTGTGCGGATGCCTGATGGTCTTCCAAAGCCAACTCTGCATTCCAAGCTAAAATGGAAAGCATCGCCTGGTGTCAACAAAAGACTTCTCAGGCCAATCTAGAAATTTGTTGTTGTTGATTTAGTGTTATCATGTCCGACTCTTTGTGACCCATGGACCAAGAGCCGGCAGCATCTAAAATATGTAGTTAACACCGACAACTAGAAACACTGGCTGCGAGCGCTCCAGTTAGGAGAACAGTTCACCAAAGTTCATGTTTTGAGACACTCAAACTAGACGCAAGGAGAATGTGCCAAGAGGAGCACGCTTGGCAATCCAACCATTATCAACTCCTGCCGGAAACCAATGTCCCATGTGGAGAGACGTGTGGATCCAGAATTGGCCTCCAACAGCTCGGACTCATTGTTTAAAAACTGTGCTTATGAAGACATGTTACTCGGCACAACGGATCGCCAAAGAAGAGAAGAAAAGCTGTTGGCAGGAGAGGAGGAGGAAGGGGAGTGTAAAAATCCAGGCTGTTGGAGCAGAAGAAGAAAGGTGGATAGACAATAATTTTATTGGATAGGCTTGCTATATTTGCAGGCAACTCCCTCCCCTGAAGATTTGAATATATTCCTGCTCTGACTTCAGGCGCCCTTAGTGCTTAATTAGACTATGAAACTCATTTCCACAGGAGGCAGTGACAAGCCCCCAATTTGATGCCTTAAAAATAGGATTAGGTCTTAGAGCCCCACACCACACTTGGGTGTCAGGATGCAAACCCTGTTCAAAAGATCTGGCAATAAAAAGAGAAGTGCCCAGTCAGCTAAACGGTGCGCAAGCTGCTTACGCTGATCCTGAGGCAGCTTCATAAAAAGAACCTCCCATTCACATATGATGGGCAATGATTATGTCACTTGTTTTGATAACAACCATATAGCAGACTGTATTCTTATTCACCATCACTGTAAACCTTAGCATAGGGTGCGTTTTACCTATGTTAATTCGGACTGTGGATTAGCTGGCGCACAGATTCGTTTCGCAGCCTTTGTGATACCTCGCACAGATCACAAGCTGCTTCTGGCGGTGGCCCTCTCTGGAAAGCCGCGACAGATAAAAAAAGTGTTTTCGTCAGACACAGTACTTAGTTTGAACCTGGGAACTCCCTCCCACAGTAGCAGTGATGGCCACTTGTTAATAAACGAAAATCTTGCCCTCTATTCCCTTATGGGGACACAAAGAGGCCCTTATAGAGTCCTTTGCAGGTTCTCATGGTGGAAGAAAGAACAGAGGCCAAGCGAGAACATTGAGAAGCAAAGCTGATAGTAAGCACTGATCTTTATTGAATGTTGCACAGGATTCTCCCTCACATGCAGGGAAAGGAGGAGGCACCCAGAAACAAGTTGCCCACCTTATATAGACATTTTTAAATTGCCCGCCTTGGAGTCCAGCAACCCCCAGATAAGTCATACCTACATCCACAGAAAGCGGTTCTACAAGAGATTCTGAGATCGTGTTGTTTATCTCCGTTGGCAGGTTACCTTAGTTAATTGGGTCATTATGGATCCCGGGGAGCCGTGGCCAGCTTTTTAATGATAGATCTACTTAGGTTCCTGAGCCAGGTCACAGGCTCACCCTATTACACAGACTAGCCTTAACAGGATTTGTGAAGGAAAAACAATGGGAGGCTTCCCATTTTCCTTTTGACCTTTGCAGAGGAAACATTTGCTCAGTTTGGAGCCAAAATGGCTCAGGGCCTGCCCTCCTGTGCTGCCTCAGACATGGGTCCACACCATCTATTGTACGTGTTTGCTTGGTAATTTATGAACATTTATTATATATATATAAATATATATTCTATATATAACAATATATATATTATATATTAAGACCTTAATTTTTATTTCCCACCAACCTTGGATTGTTCCAAAGAGGACTGAGAGGATTCATGGGAAAAGCTATTGATAGCTCTCGCAGGACAGCGGTCTGTGGGGGCAGCGGTTGCTTCTAAGAGTGCTCTTGAACTGATGTGCGTTCCGGGGAAAGAGAACCTCTGGTTGGCTTTGTTGAGAAGAGGACGCGAGACCCTGTTTCCTATCTCCGTATTTCCCAGGCTGCCCAGGCGTGGGTATTGTAACAAGGAGTTAAAGCCGCTGTCCGGAAGGAGTGTGAAAAAGAAGGAAGAAGAGGCACGCTGTCTGGAGCACCAGGCACACGGCATTCCTCGAAGGGCTGAGGCTTTCTCTGTGTGTGTGCCTGACTGTGGCGTGTTACTAGACGAACTGTTAGGAACACATGTTTAAACACAGAAGGCGCGCGACGGAGTTAATTTGGACTGCATGGGGGACCAGCAAGAAACATGTTGTAACCAGGCCACGAGTGTTCTTCAACGTAGCTTTCTGGCGTAGATTATTACTACACGAAGGCGTGACCTACAGTACAGGCTACCGAACCCCAAAATTTAAAAAGTTGGAGGAGATAATAGTTACTTGGTCTATTCTTATTGGATGCATCGCATTCGCAGCCTTTGCAATAATTGGCTTAAAATAGGTTACGGACTTGAAAGATGACAAACATCTGGAGGTTGCTGAAGACGTATATTATTCGTACGGGAAGCAGCTCAGGATCTCTACACTGACTGCTGGTGTCCTCCGGGGGTTTTAGGGCAGGGCTAGTTTCCAGTCTAAAGCCATGGGTTTTCCCAGTAAGTGTGCATGGGATGAGGAAGAACGAACGGAAAAACACGCGAACACGAATACCTAAGAAGGCTGATGGCCGAAGAATGGATGCTATTTGAATCTGGTGCGAGGGACCTCTGGACAGTCCATGACTGCAGAAAGATCAAAACCTTCCATTCCTGAAGCCAGGGAAATGGTGTTGTGGGCTCGTCACGGAGCTCTCCCTGCGTCACTCCTTGGGTCCACCAATCTGGTCAGCCAGGGGGCATGGCCTAACCTAAGGTAAATGTAAGTTCAACCCTATAATTTTTAAGGGGGGACCAATCCTTTAAAAAGGTCAACAATTTTGGGGCAAAATCTTTAAAAAGCTCAACAGCTTTGACCAGCCCTCAAGCATGTTCACTTCATCAAATCTGGCCCTCTTTGAAAAAAGTTTGGACATCACTGCAGAACTGAACTTCATCATTTGCAGAACTGCCTGAAGCACTATTAATCAGAGCAGTTGAGAACTTCTACCCAAGTCAGACTGCTGGAACGTCTTAACTCAACATTTGTCCCTACGCTTAACTTGGCAGTGGCTCCCCAAGGTTTCAGACAGGTGACTTTTCACCTAGAGATGCGGAACCTGAGTCATTCTCATGCAGAGTGGATTCTCTTACTGCAGAGGTACTGCCCTTCCTCAAGTACTCATTCAGTCATGAAGCACACTGGGTGACCTGGGCAGTCACCAACTCTCAACTAGCAACCTCACAGGATCCCTTGGGTAAAAATGGCGCAGAAGAGAACTAACCACACCACTAGAGCAGTCTTTCTCAACCTGTGGGTCCCAGCTATGTATGTTGAACTACAACTCCCATCACCCTAGCTAGCAGGCCAGAGCTCAGGATGATGGAAGTTGTAGTCCAACAAATCTGGGGACCCACAGGTTGAGAACCGCAGACTAGAGCAGGGGTAGGCAAACTAAGGTCTGGGGGCTGGATCCGGCCTAATCGCCTTTATAAATCTGGCCCGGTGACAGTCAGCGTGTTTTTTACATGAGTAGAATGTGACCTTTTATTTAAAATGCATCTCTGGGTTATTTGTGGGGCATAGGAATTCGTTCATATCTTTTTTTTTTCAAAATATAGACCAGCCCCCCACAAGGTCTGAGGGGCAGTGGACCGTGTGGCTATTTGGATGGAGTCCTGGCACACTTCCCTGCCCCCACTGGACTTCCCGTGGATAGCTCTCCGTCAGCTTCCTGTAGCAGAGTCGTCGCAGCGGTAGAAACTGTTGCAATGTCCCCCTACTGAAAAGTTTGCTGACCCCTGACCTTGAGCTCCATAGAGAAATGATGAGGTGTATTAAATAAATGAAAACTTAATGACACAATGGATGGCCCACCCAACTCAGAATCACAACTTGCTGCGTTTGTCCATACTTGCTCACTCTTGAAAGAAGAAAAGGAACATTTGTAATCCAGTCCTCCACAGCTCCCCAAAAGCACACATTGGGTTGCGTCACGGAGCCTACTCCTCTTGCAGAAACCAAATGCACATTTTGCAATTGCAAAGCAAAATACTTTATATGCCTTGCCTCGCAAAGGATTTGTTTTTCTGCATAAAGCACAGGCGTAAGCTGAACTTAAAAGGTCTCGCGCAGTAATTCAACGTAACCATTTTCTGTATTTCAGTTGACATCTGGTCAGTGGGCTGCATCATGGCTGAGATGATCACGGGAAGGCCGCTCTTCAAAGGCAACGATCGTATCCTTTCACTGTGAACACTTGGCATTAAGATGTAGAAGTATGTAAGAATCCAGGTGTCAAAAGTGTACGAGTTCAGAAACACTTTAAACAAATAATTATCGCTTGAGCTTCTTGCTTCCAAATATCTGGGGGGGGGTTTAGGTTTGTGTTTCAGCCAAAATTTGCAAAGAGGGAAACTTAATAGTACATCACAGCTGCTTTGCATTACTAATTGCAAGTAGAAATTCACATTTGTAAGACTCCTTGGCATGCAGCGCTGTTTTTTTTTCAGTTTATCATATATACTTGGTTGCCAGCTATGCTTTACAACTTCATATCTGTCCCTTCCTTCCCTGCTGTGGGACAACATAGAAGCTCAGCAAGTATTACTGAAAGTCAGGGACAGCTAAAGCTAAGGAAGGCTACCCTCAAAAGCTTGCAGAAAGTTCTTATAACCAGTTTTGAAAGAGAAGTGTAAAACTATCTGAGCTCTAATGTGGCTTATAAAAGCTTGTGGAAATATGAATGAATGAATGAATCTTTATTTGCGTCAGCCATCAGCCATAGCAATAAAACAGCAATACGATATGCAAAGAATAGAAATAAAAAGTCAATTCTATAAAATACATTTTAGGGTTTTGAATCAATAGTCAAATAGTGGAGCTTATTCTGATTGCCCCAGCTAAAAACCTTGCAACCTTTGCTGTCATCTGCTCATCTTAATCTGCCAAGAGAAAGGACACTGTGGCAGTGGTTGGACGACCCAGAATGGACAATAAAAGAGGGGTGATAATCTCATTCAAGTCTTTGTGCAAACATGTTTTTCTGTGATACTGTCAGGTCCAAAGCTGAGCTATGAAGTGTCCTCCCCATTGCTATCTCTGAATGGTATTCAGAGGTCATCCTTAGCCAGCTGTGGTTTTGAGAAGGTATAAGACTCAGGTAGACTTTGGTATGTGGAAGCCAAGACCATCTAAAACACCTCTCCTTTTTACATGTGTTGTATGTTCCACTATTAATAGCAAGAAAAACAGGATCTGTTACAACATGTTTTTTATTTTGACATACATACTGAAGATTTGACTCCTGACTTAGGCATTCAGACCTGGACCAGCTCACAGAAATAATGAAAGTAACAGGCACACCAACTCAAGATTTTGTTCAGAAACTGCAAAGCCAAGATGTAAGTAGCTCTTGATTTCTCTGATTTCTTAGGACAAAGTACAGATTCAGAAATGTCATGTGGATTGCACCAGTTCAGGTGGGAGACGGCATATATGCTTTTTCATAGTAATTTTCATTGTACCTTTGTTTTGGAAGATCGTTTTTATTATTACGTCGTAGTCTGAGACACAACTGAATTTGAACTCCATGGATAGCACTGAGAATAAACCCAATGGGGCAGAATAAATTTGATGCCATTTCTTTATTGTAAATGTTAACATCCTGTTTTGGCTTCTTTCAAGGCAAAAAACTATATCAAAAGCCTTCCAAAAGTGCAGAAAAAAGACTTTGCTGCTATCTTGAAGTATGCAAATCCTTTAGGTAAGTAAATATAGATGCATGTTACGAATAATGATGCTGTGTGGTATAGCATGGCAGTGAACAATTAAGTTTAATTGAAATACTTTCTGTCCTTTTCTAACAAGCTTTTCCAATAATTTTGCTGCTATCTGAAAATTCCTCTGTATAGGATATTTATCCCCACCTGAATTAATCCATCTCCCATTAGGACAGCCAACTTTTAAGCAAGGTGTGGTATAAGAGAATGTTACTGTTTCATTAAAAGGTAAAGGACCCCTGACACTTAAGTCCAGTTGCGAACGACTCTGGGGTTGCGGCGCTCATCTCGCTTTACTGGCCGAGGGAGCCAACGTTTGTCCGCAGACAGTTTCTCCAGGTCATGTGGCCAGCATGACTTAAGCCGCTCCAGGCGAAACCAGAGCATTCCACGGAAACACAATTTACCTTCCCGCCGGAGTGGTACCCATTTATCTACTTGCACTTTGATGTGCTTTTGAACTACTAGGTTGGCAGGAGCTGGGACAGAGCAACGGGAGCTCACCCCGTCGCAGGGATTCGAACCGCCGACCTTCCGGTCGGCAAGCCCTAGGCTCAGTGGTTTAGACCACAGCGCCACCCGCGTCCCTGCTTCATTAGTAAGGCAGAAATAAATATTTTCAAAAGCTGTGTGACAGTTTCTATACTTCATCTCTTTGGTTTTATTGTAATATTGCACCAGTAGCTACTCAGAGAAATAACGTGAAGCCAACTTTATATCATATTCTTTTTATTATATAGCTATCTTGAGTATTCCAGAAAGTCAACAAAGCTGCAAAATCTCTCTTGTTGTTTCGGCAATCCCTTCCCCTTCCTACCCTAATGGCCTCATGCTGTCCCTACTTTCATGATTTTTAAGGATAAGCTCTTCTTTTAATAATAATAATAATAATAATAATAATAATAATAATAATAATAATAATTTTATTTATACCCCATCCTCCCTGGCCAAGACCGGGCTCAGGGCGGCTGACACCAAATACATAATACATTAAAAACACAAAATCAAACGATTGATTAAAATACAGTTCAAAATCACATTTAAAATCAAATCAGGTGGGAACTCATGAATCACAACCGTAGGGGTAGGAATATCAAATATTCACCAGGCCCGGTCACTTGTGCTGGTCCCATAGAAGGAGCCAAGAGGCCACTTACATACAGAGTCCCACAGAAAGAGGGAAGAAGGAAGGGGGTCAGACTGGGTCTGGACCAAAGGCCTGGCGCAACAGCTCCATCTTGCAGGCCCTGTGGAAAGATGTCAGATCCCACAGGGCCCTGGTCTCTTGCGACAGAGCGTTCCACCAGGCTGGGGCCGCAGCAGAAAAGGCTCTGACCCTGGTTGAGGCCAGTCTAAGCTCCTTGAGGCCCGGGACCTCCAAAGTATGATTGCTTGTGGACCGTAAGGTCCTCCGTAGGGCGAACCAGTAGAGGCGGTCCTGTAAGTACGAGGGTCCTAGGCCATATAGGGCTTTATAGGTTAAAACCAGCACCTTAAACCTGACCCTGTACTCCACCAGGAACCAGTGCAGCTGGTATAAAAGGTAAAGGTACCCCTGCCCGTACGAGCCAGTCTTGACAGACTCTAGGGTTGTGCGCCCATCTCACTCAAGAGGCCGGGGACCAGCGCTGTCCGGAGACACTTCCGGGTCACGTGGCCAACGTGACAAAGCTGCATCTGGCGAGCCAGCGCAGCACACGGAAACGCCGTTTACCTTCCCGCCAGTAAGCGGTCCCTATTTATCTACTTGCACCCGGGGGTGCTTTCGAACTGCTAGGTTGGCAGGCGCTGGGACTGAGCAACGGGAGCGCACCCCTGCCGCGGGGATTCGAACCGCCGACCTTTTGATCGGCAAGCCCTAGGCGCTGAGGCTTTTACCGATAGTGCCACCCGCGTCTGGTATAGTATAGTATATACCGCGTCTGGTATATACTGGTATAGCACTGGATGAATTTGCTTCTATCCCAAGGAACTGAGTGGCCTCTGAAAATGCAAAAGCCACTCCTGATCTATATGATCGTCCATTAGCATAGTTAAGCTCGGTATTATTTCCTTAAACCTGACTTGCTGCTGGAAAATTAAAATCATTATGTTTCATGCTGGGTCTTAGTGCTTGCCCTCTCCTTTGTTGATCCAGCTGTGAACCTTTTGGAGAAGATGCTGGTGTTAGACGCAGAGAAGAGAGTGACGGCTGCAGAAGCTTTAGCGCATCCTTACTTTGAAGCCATTCACGATCCAGAAGAGGAAACCGAAGCAGAGAAATACGACGACACTTTTGACAACATGGATCTGCCCCTGGATGAGTGGAAATGTACGTTTGGTACATTTTGGCAATCTTCAGGCTAGGACAGAAAACATCTATGGGCTCTTAGGAAAATAGGCTTATACAGTGGTACCTCGTGTTACATACACTTCAGGTTACATACGCTTCAGGTTACAGACTTCGCTAACCCAGAAATAGTGCTTCAGGTTAAGAACTTTGATTCAGGATGAGAACAGAAATCGTGCTCCAGCAGCGCGGCGGCAGCAGGAGGCCCCATTAGCTAAAGTGGTGCTTCAGGTTAAGAACAGTTTCAGGTTAAGAACGGACCTCCAGAACGAATTAAGTACTTAACCTGAGGTACCACTGTAATTAAAATATGCTTCAGGTGAATTTAGAAATCCGATGCAGTGAATTTCTATATGTTTCCTCCCCCCTCCAGCCCTCATTGGTTCTGTATAGTTTTCCTTTCCATTCTACTCCCGTCCCTCCATGTTCATGACCTATTTATCGACATTTGTATTGTGCAACAAATCAGACTGCTAATCCACATATTGCCTACTACACTGTTTCCCAAACTTGGGTCTCCAGCCGTTTTTGGACTACAACTCCCATCATCCCTAGCTGTCAGGACCAGTGGTCAGGGATGATGGGAACTGTAGTCCAAAAACAGCTGGAGACCCAAGTTTGGGAAACAGGTCTTAGGCCAGGGATGGGGAATCTATGGACATCAGGTGCAATTGGACTCTGACCCCCATCAGCCCTAGCCAGCATGACCGATAGTTCGGATGATGGCAACTATATCCAATAACATCTGGAGAGGCACAGGTTCCTATCGCTGGCCTAAGAATGGCAGACGTAATGTAGAAAGCCATTGTAGACAGTTTCCATTAGGAGAGTTTCCTGTCTTAAGCCCTAATTCTGAGCCCTAATTCCTGCAATTTTAAGAGGATATGCCTGAGATAGGATCTGGCATCTTCTGTTTGCAAAGTCTGTGCTTGACAACTTGAGTTATGGCTCTCCACTCAATTGTCATGTAATCTACCTTTTCCTCTTGCATAGTTTTGGTTTCGCTGCTGTTGATTCGACAAGCCAGTCTGACCTGTTGTAATACCTAGGAATAGGTGTGTGTGTGTGTGTGTGTGTGTGTGTGTGTAAAAAATATTATAGGTAATATAATCAGGCATGGGCAAACTCTGCCCTCCAGATGTTTTGGGACTACAACTCCTTAGCTAACAGGCCCAGTGGTCGGGGATGATGGGAATTGTAGTCCCAAAACATCTGGAGGGCCGAGTTTGCCCATGCCTGATATAGATGTTATTAACATATAATTAATTATAGCTAAATCAGAGGCCCTCACACTGTCAATGATGGGGGTGGGATATTTTCCCTGTCTGGTGGTACTTCACAATAAGAAATAGGGATGTGAATCATTATTTCTCTGAATGTGAAAGCAATTCTTTTTCCTTCTTCTTTCCCCAGGCATCACATTCAAAGAAGTGACAAGCTTTAAGCCTCCGCAGTTGCCCGAGTCGAAAGAGACAGCAGTGTAAAACCACAGGGACCAATTTCCTTAGAAATCAAATGAAGGAAGGAGGGTGTAAAATTTTAAATATATATATAATTTAATTGTACAAACCTTTTTATAAATAAACTGGGTGTAATCTGTCTAATCTGTACTCTGAGGGAATATTTGCTTTCCGGACTTCAGCTAGGAACCTAATGCCATCATAAGCGGCACACCATGACTGGGTGAATATTTTGTTTCTGCCGCACATTGCTTATACCTTAGAGTATGTATTTCCCTCTCTCACAGCCCCATAGCTCTCACAACATGTTACAGGTTCTCTGTATCGCTACCATTTCCGGTGGGCTGCTCCACACGCTACGTTTTTCATTTAGGAAACATTGCCGGCACGTGTTCACATGGATACCCGAACCCTTTTTCTACCGTTAAGCGGTTTACGTCAATTCCTGCCGTAGCAGCAAGACCAGGACTTGCTGGCATGGACAAGAAACGAATTGTGTGAAATGAAGTTCCTCAACCACTTTTCAAACTGAGATGGTGTTAAAAAAAAAGGATGTTATGTTCTCGTTGCCAAACAGCCTACTTTAAAAGCATTTGCAGAGAGGTTTGTTTCGAAGAGAGAGAGAGGCCAATGGAGGGCATCAGTTTTCTTGACAAACAGTTCTTTGGGAGACGGAAAGAAAGTCACAGAAACATAATCAAATTCTCATTTTGAAAGAGCAGGGGAGCAATTTGCTATAGCAGAATATGCGCTCTTAAAACTCCCAGTAGGTCGACTTGCGCCAGGTCAAATCCATCAGCCTCTCTAATCCTGCCCTAGCCAGGAGCAGCTCAC